CACCTGCTGGCGAAGTCCTACACTCCAACTGCGGAAAGTGCCAGCACCCTCACTAGGAGATCCATGTACTTCATCCAGTCCATCCGCCAGGCGGACCATCCTCTCCACCTGGGTTCTGTGGTGGCCAGAACCTTTGACAAGAGTGCTTCAGAACTGCGGAGCCTACACTGCACTCCCCTCATCACCCGTCTGGCCGCCTACTTCCAGATCCCACTGCAGGGTTGCACAGAGCAGGGGGGCACTAGTGTTTTCGGCGAAGGCACGATTAAGAGTATGCACCTGCTGCGAGTCGAGCGCGGCATCAAGTGTATCGCGGGGTTTCCTGAACCTCAGATCCCCGTGGAGGACCAGCCTGATGCTCCTAAGGATGAGGCTGATGAGGATGTCCACCCCAAGGATGTGGATAATGCCGATGCCCCCCGCCCGACCACCTTCAAGTACGGGGGTAGCAGTTCCACCTTCCCATCCAGGACTACTTCACTCACCAGTTCCAGCAGGTGAGCATCCAGAATCAGTGACTCCTCGACCATCAGCTCCAGTTCCAGCAGCAGTACTCCGCTCACCAGGCCGAGTATCAGACCAGGATGGCTGCGTATGATGAGCGCCTGGACCGTACGGAGACCCAGCAGGGGGTGACCCTTGCTCACATCGAGCAGGAGAAGGCTCGATCTTGGCGTATGCAGGAGGTCCAACAACACCTCCTCCAGCTGATACCGAGCGAATAGCCAGTCTGGAGGACTCCTTGGGAGGACTCTCCTCTTCCACCCCGGCCGGCAGAGAGGACGCCTTCATGGACGACATCGACTTCGACAACCTTGGCGATGAGTAGTCAATACTCGTCGCCCCTCAGAGTGTGTTTTTGGTTAAGACTTTTCTTGTTTGCTCCATGTGTGTGTGGAGCTTGAACTGAGTCTGTCGTTTGTTTTTGTACTTTTTGCTTTCTTTTGTGGATTGTCTATTTTGTGGCCATCTGGGCTAACTCTGATCCCTAACAAACAGGATGCTAGTGTGTTCTTGATGTTCCCTTCGTGCAGAACTTTTCCATTCGTTCCACATGTCCCCCGCTGACTGGTCCACTTCCAGTCCCCCGACAGTCTTTCATTCCAATAACATCGTTCCCCTTATCTTTCCCTTGCTCCATTGAGGGAAATGTCGTGCTTAAGTGTGGAGGGTGTTTATCTATCTTTGACTGCTAGATGAGTTTGTGTGCTTGGAGCCTAGTCCACTGTCCAATTTGATGAATTGAGGGCTCCAACTACTGTTCCCTGTAAAATCCTGCTAAGTATGCTTTGAATTGACAGTCTTTATGGTGATATGCAACATAGGGAGGTAGTTGTAGCACTATGGAGGATGTTGAAGTATAAGATTTTTCCTATCTGTCTCTCTGCTGTGCCGGTTGATTTTGTGAACTGGTGGATTTACGACCGTTGATGCATGTGGTATTGATGACTCCTCTTATGTTGTGTTGTGGACTCGTGTATCGAAAAAGGGTGCTCAGGTGTGAAATGAAAAATTTGAAATTCTTATGTTGTGTTGGTCCTCCATGTAAAAAATTTGAAATTCTAAGACATGGGGTAAGCCCAACATGTGTGGCACCGTTCATTGCACAAAAATCAGGTTCTGGAAGACATTTTCGTGATCCTTGGTGGGATAGGCCTACAAGGTGAAGCTAAGTTGTCTCTAGTACAAGTAAAATTTCCACCCGTTGAACGGTTTGCCTACTTGAGGATGTGTTTTTAAGGGAACGGATAGAGCTTCCGATCCCCCTTAATTTCATTGACCCTCCACACGAAGTGAGGAATAGGAGTTAAAAGAAGTACTCTGGCGAGTGACAGATGTACAGAAATTGCTCTTGCTCACCTAATAAGGGCAGACCGCGCATACAAACTGCAGTTGGAACCCCAGCAAAGAAAAAAAAAGAGACAAAACAAATAGTAAGAAGAAGGGGTTCCAACAAGTGAAATGAAATGAAAGAGCACCCGATACAATGAGTCCTTGGTTGTTGAATTGTGTGAGTCTCCTTATCCATGAATTGAATGTCTTAGTTCCACTGCTTCTCATGATCCTGGATTGAGTCTAGTACTCGCATTGAGAGAGATAGGAGGCGTCTTAGAAGACCAGTTGACCTTGTAAGTTGCTAAATGATCTAGAAAATCCTCTGTCGACGATTGGGGTTGCATGTTGCTATAGAGGTCTGGAGAGTTGTATTGGTTTGAGTCAGGTTTGCTTGGGGATAATCAAACGGTTAAGTGTGGGGGAGTTTGATAGACCGTTAATTGCACATGTTTTACCCCTATTCTTGAGACGTTTGAGATGTTGATTCTCGTGTTTTAGGCCGATTTCACGCTAGGTTGTTCTTGTTTGTGATATTTCATGTCCTAGTACGTGAATGAAGGCCGATTTCACGCTCGATTGGACGGAGATCGAACGTTTGGCAAGAAGCTGAGGAAGTCACCCACACGACCGTGTAAGGGAACCCATGTGGCCGTGTGGAAATTCCAGGGAACTCACACGGGCATGCCTGGAAATCCACACGGCCGTGTGGTTGTTGCGTGTAGGATGGCTGGAAGTCCCTTAATCGAAACTCGGCCTTTTGACACTTACACGGGCAGCTGGAAAAGTCACACGGCCCTGCGGCCTGCCCGTGTGGCCAGAAATTTCTGGGTTTTAACCCATATTCAAGCCAAAGGAGAAAGAATCAACTTTTTTTGGGAGCAAAAACATAGTCCTAGAGAGAGAAAGTGCAAAGAACACCTCCTAAGAGTGGTTTTGGAGATGGGTTTCATCAATCAAGCTTGAAAATCATCCTTGGAGTGAAGATTGACATCCCAGAGCCGATTCTTCCCATCTTGATGAGTATGACTGCTTTGTTGGCTGTTTTCCTCTCTCTCTCTATGGAGTAGAACCTTCTCTCACTTGGGTATGAAGAACCCTAGTTCCATGTGTTAGGGATCTTGATTGTAATGACTTGGGATTGTTATACTGATTGATTTTAGTCGATTGATGCATGATTCATTGAGTCAATTAAAGCCTGATAATCTTTTCTTGATTTCTGCTGCAACCTGAGATAGATAGAATATGATTAGGTTGTTAGAGCTTAATCAATCGGTAGTGGTAGATTGATTATACCAGAGTTAATCGATTTACTACTTTCTACTGGAATCCAATTCCAGTAGTGGAGTTCTTTGTTCATTGCCTCAGCATTCTATCTCGGTGAAGACTAGTCGTCTGCCGGGTAGTTGGACTGAGAGGGCTTGGTCAGCTTAAGAGATTCCAAGCTACTCTCGGATCTTCCGCAGTTTAATCAAAAGTTAATCAACCCAGGGTAATTACAATTGTGACCTAACTAAGGAGCTAGGGAGACTCAGTCTCGAGTGACTCTTCCTTTGCTTCAGAAAACCGACCCAATTCCTGCTTTCTTACTGCTTTTAGTTAAAACCACAATCAATCGACTTAGTTGGCTAGATAATAGATATTCACGGAGTAGGCAGTAGATTTACACCCCGGGTTGATAATTAGGACTTGCCACTTTACTGCATTTCGGACTGCGATTACACTTGTTCGCAGTTTAGTGTTGTGTTTTAGCGTCTCAATTACATAGATCCATTCAATGTCGCTAGATACTAACTTGCACAAAACAAACATTACAAGATGAGACATAATGTTCTTCGAAGCCGAACAGCAGCATTACATGTTGTGCTTGGATCGTTTGGGAAGTAGAACAGATTCTTGAGTCTCCACATGAAAGTTGCTTTCACCTGCTCCTATGGACTCGAAGTTGTATTCTCGTTGCGTGAAATGACTATCACTTGCACCTGCTTCAACCATTCTTTTCAGCGGGCAATTTCTGATTGTATGTTTAGGAAGCCTACAATACTTGCACAATCATCTTTTCACTTCAGGTTGCTTCACATTCACTTTGCTTCGAACTGGATGGGGGCCCTTAATAAATTGAAAGGAGTTCACTCCAGCATCCGTAGTTGCTTTATTTGTTTTGCTGGTTGTTTCTTCACTTATTGTCTTCACTCGCAAGGTCAAGTCTTCAATCAACCTTTTGGCAGTATGAAATGCTTCATCCGAACTCACAACATAATGGCACATTATACTACATTGACCAACCAAGAATCCAAACCTGTCCAAATAATCAAGCACTTTTGTAGTTGGTTCCAAGCACTTTTGTAGTTGGTTCCCTGCTAATATTTTGCTGGGTAGGACAGGTTCCCATACTCGAGGGATCGAACTCTTTTGCATTTTTAGTCCAACGCTTCAAAATGAGTGACTTGAGAATTTGTATTTGATTTTCTACTTTCAATATACAAGATATATGCAGACATGGAATTTCGCAGAACTCAATAATGCCACTAGAAAAATGCACATCATGTCCACTCGTGTAAAAGACCACGGTGCACTTTGAGTCAGGGTATTTGAATCGTAACAATGTGTAAATTATTTTATTGGCCAACACACATTTGTCTGTAATATAGTAATGAACTTATCTTGCTATTTCTGCTCGCATGCTCTTGAACACATTTCTTGTATATACTATAGAGGCATGTCTTTTAATTTCATGTAAATGTGTCATCAAAACTACATTAGTATGTATTGTCTTAAACTAGTCATGTAACTTAGTTTGTCTCCTATACAAAAGTGTCATGTCAAACTGCTTGACAAACTCAAACAACTTCATCTTACTTTGCAAGAATTTGTCTAGATAAGAGTTCATGCTCTCACAACGTTGAGACGTTGTCATCCCAACAAAGAAAGTACCTTTCAAGTAAGTTGTTGCCCATAGAGCTCGTCGTCTATACATGTTCTTCATCCACGCATTGTGCTCCAGATCATACTTGGACAAAATTTCCTTCCACGTAGCTTCAAATTGTGGAATAGAACTGCAGTTTAGCATGCATTGTTTGAAATCCTCCTGGAATCCTTCCGTATGGGCACGCGCTTCAACAAAACTAACTTTGAAAGAAGCCGGACAATGGAGCCTTGTTACAGGCCTAGGTTCACGCTTTCTATTTACCTTGTCATTGTGCACTGGCTGACGCTCCGCCTCGCGTGAGAAAACACATCGTTGCATATTTTTAACAATATGTGTGAGTGTTCTTTCGTACACTGAATCCCATGGCACAACCATAAGTTGAATAGAACTTGTCAGCCTCCACAAGGGTTTCAAACTCATAACCAACAACATCATCCGACTCCTATTTAGCAAATGGCTTCCCATTCCCGACTTTATCAAGCAGTTTCCAGTCATACATACTCGAGGACGGTGGAGCCTTGGCTGGATTTGCAGCATCTTTGTGTAGAGGTGCATCTGAGTTGTGTGGCTGTGTTTCAATGTTGTGCAAATGCTCATTTGAGATGTTCTCCTTATCATCATCACCAATGTTACTGTTATTATCATCCTCATAATCACTATTGTTGGTTTTGACATTGTCCTCTATATCGTCACTATCTCTAACACCACCGGTATAATCTCCATAATCCATTCCCCAATCTAAACCAACATTCAAATCAATACCCGTGTACTTGCCTGTGCTCATATCATCCATCAACCCTTCCATAGTTTATCAACTGAAAACAACCAACAAAATGAAGTTTAGAGACAATTAAAATCCACATATTCACCACCCACACCCCACTGAATCCAACAGTACACTAATAAATTAACAAGCAATGAAAAGATTTCATGCTAGATTAGAGGCATATGCATATAAGCCACATAGTTTCTGTGCATCTTTAAGCATCCATTACCTACCAAGCTTAACTAACATACTACTAGTGATAATGCTCTGAGATTGATTGTAACAGAGGGCAATAGCATAACAAAAGAATCCTCCAAGCCCCAGGTTAACCTCAAAAGGCAACCCTTTCACCCCCTCATTACTTATGATTCTGCAGATCCTCAAATCACACATCAAAATGGTTCAAATAAAATGATCGATAAAGAATGTGAAGCAGAGTCCAGGACATGAAGTCAAAGTTACTTTTTCTGCTGCCCTGGCTATATGCAGGAGCAAGAATACTAACCAGAAAACACATGCTTCAAAATTCGAATGACAGTGATTCACGTTCTTCCACAATGCGAAAGCTAAGAAACTTCATATCCCCAGAAAAATTTGTCCAGAGGTAGGGTGCTCCATACTTAGTTCAGAACGCAGAACAGACCCACTCAATCTCCATGAAACGAAACAAACACGAGCCAAGTCCGAGTTAAGCAAACTCAGCTTGATAGTTTCCTCTTCACTTCCGCGACAAACCAACCATTCACAAATGAAATGAAGCCAAGCAAGATCACAATTCACAGCGCCCACTAAATTGCACAAAGAACGATGGAGTCAACGACTACTAGTCGCAATAAGTAATAATCTCGCTAGGAGCAAAAACAAATTCAGCCGCAACCCAACACCAATACAAAATGTGCCAAATCAGAACCCTCATAACTTACTACAATATAGATGATCTAACATATATGATGTATCGACATATATGATGGGCACCAACGTGGATTTAGGATTAGAACCAACGACTCAATAGGAGAAGGCCGATACAAGGAATTGACTGGCGGAGGGCGATAACGTATTTCCGGCTTTAGTACTGTCCACTGTCTCCCACAAAGTAGCTCTGCTTCCTTTGCCGCAAAGAGGACCAGCAATCGCCAACAATTTTAAACCCCCCAATCTTAGGGTTCGAGTGGTTCCAACCGGGCAATCGGATCTCACTAATTAGGGTTCTAGCTAGGTGGCGAAGGATGGGCGAATAAGGGAGAAGGGAAAATCGCTGGTTGCGTAGAGAAGGGAAGACGAAGGAAGGGAGATAGGAAGAATCTGGTTTTGTAATAGTGGTGGAGATGCATGCCAGAGAAGGAGCCGACAAAGGACGACAATTAAGAACCGAGGCTGGGAAACGAAATCGGTCGAGTGACCTACAGAGGCTGGGAAACAAGAATTGGACACCTACGTATGGAAGAACGGAGGTAGGATGGAGGGAGGGAAGCAAGAAGGAAGAAGCCGTCAGGGAGGAACCGAGGATCAGTCCTCTAGCGCCGATGAAGGACAAGAAGGAAGAAACGGCATCACTGTTACGACTTACGACGATGAGGGTTTAGGATATAGGAATTTTTTCATTATCACCGACCCAAAAAACCATCGGTTTATAATTAGATGGGTTAAACCCAAAACCATAGTCAAACGCTCAGTCAACCATATATCGTAAATCATTCCCACATCGATTTATAATTAGATGGGTTAAACCCAAAACCATAGTCAAACGCTCAGTCAACCATATATCGCAAATCAATCCCACATTGGTTTATAATTAGATGGGTTAAAACCAAAACCATAGTCAAACGCTCAGTCAACCATATATTGTAAATCAATCCCACATCGGTTTATAATTTGATGGGTTAAACCCAAAACAATAGTCAAACGCTCAGTCAACCATATAAAGTACATGGGTTCAACACAAGTACATGGTTTAAACCCAAAACCATAATCAAACATCAATCAACAATATACCGTAAACCCAATCCCACGTCGGTTCACAAGTACATGGGTTCAACACAAGTACATGGGTTAAACCAAAAACCATAATCAAAAGCCAATCAACCATATACTGTAAACCCAATCCTGCTTTGGTTCACAATTACATGGGTTCAACCCAAAACCATAATCAAACAACACTCACTAAACGATATATCATCAACCAATCTCACATCGGCTTCACAAGTAGATGAATTAAACCCAAAACCATAATCAAACGCTCAATCAACCATATACCGTGAACCCAATCCCATGCTGGTTCACAAGCACATGGGTTCAACACAAGTACCTGGGTTCAACACAAGTACACGGATTAAACCCAAAACCATAGTCAAACGTCAATCAACCATATACCGTAAACCCAATTCCATGCTGGTTCACAATTACATGGTTCAACCCAAAACCATAATCAAACACTCATTAAAGCATATATCATCAACCAATCTCACATCGGTTTCACAAGTAGATGAGTTAAACCCAAAACCATCAAACGCTCAATCAACCATATACCGTAAACCCAATCCCACATCGGTTCACAATTACATGGGTTCAACCCAAAATCCGTACTCAAACACTCACTAAACCATATACCCTAAACCAATCTCACATCGGTTAACAAGTAGATGGGTTAAACCAAAACCCATAATCAAACGCTCAATCAACCATATACCGTAAACCCAATCTTACGTCGGTTCACAATTACATGGGTTCAACCCAAAAACCGTAATCATACACTCACTAAACCATATATCATCAACCAATCTCACATCGGTTCACAAGTAGATGGGTTGAATCCAAAATCATAATCAAACACTCAATCAACCATATACCTAACCTCAATCTCACATCGGTTTACAATTACATGGGTTGAACCCAAAACCATAACCAAACACCTACTCAACCAATCTCACATCGGTTAACAAGTACATGGGTTAAACCCAAACCCGTAATCAAACACTCATTGAACCATATACCGTAAACCCAATCTCACATTGGTTGGCAAGTAGATGGGTTTGAACCCAAACCGGTAATCAAACGCTCATTCAACCATATGGTAAATTGGTAACAGGTTTTAAAATGCAAACGGACAATGAATTTAACAAAACATGTTATGTAGTCTGACTGGTTAATGCGTTGAATTATTATGCTAAGAGTGCGGGTTCGATCATTGAAAATGATGTTTTTTATTCACTAACTCACGCCAAAAGCAACAAGTCTAGACCCAATTTCTGCAAATGAAAACATCCCCCTCGTCGATATTTAACGACAAAGTAGGCAAATGAAAAACAACTAACAACTAAGCAATAAGTCAAGTTTGAAAACTTGAAGAACAAGAAAAGAAGCAAGATTTCACTTTCTTTGGTTTCCAAGCAAGGTTGTCAAACCGGTTTATACCATTGTGTCGGTTTGACAAGTGGAATGGTACGACCGGTGGTATAACCAGTTTGTGTCGATTCATGCCAGTTTAAAAAAATGTGAAAACAATTAATATCCAATGTAGTTAATCATATATAAAACATTTTGTGGACAATTTAGTTACAATCCAACAAATATCATCAACTTTTAACTATTACATTCATTAAATTCATTAAAATGATGTCATTTTACTTAGAATACGTAAGTTGATCATACCGGTCATACAGGTGGTGTCGTGCCGGTTTCATGACCGGCACAGGTTGAACCAAGTTCAACCGGGTGGCATGCCACCTACATGACAACCATGTTTCCAAGTTAAAGACCGCAAGATAGAAGTGGGTCAACGTGAGGTTGAAAATTGGAACATGAATATGAAATAATACACAAACAAACAATAATTATCAATTTATCATAGGAGGGTTAAGCCATTTCCTTTAAGAAAATAACGTTACAACATACCTTACTGCATTAAAGTAGCTCATTTATACGGTATCGCTCAAGTATCTTATATGAACCCATGGCACCCATAAATTGCTACTCGTCGCAATAATACGCACGATCCTAGAAAAAGAAAACGCAGTTACCAACACCAGCTACAAGTAACAAACAAATAGATTAATTTCATGCCAAGATTAGACAAAGAAGACAACTGTACCGAAACTGAAGGTGGAAAGAACCAAGACAAGCCACCACTGCGACCACAACTTCGTTCTTCTAGTGTCTTGCACAGACACACCATTTCTATAATCTAATGCATCATCATCACATATACCAAAGTTAGCAATACAAGTTCAATCTACTAAATTAAACACATAAAGTTACTCACCCTTGTTGAAATTTTGGTCCTGGGCAAAAGCTGGACCAAATCTTCACAAAGCAAGGGAAGAGCCCCGCCATCAAGACTAACCAACATGTCACTGTTATACAAGACCAAGTTCAAACATCACAGCATTAGAATAATGCAAATAACAAAAAGATCCTACAAATATGATCCAATCTTACTTGTAATGATTTCATGAGGTACCTTCCGGGAAGCTTACTACTAAAAGCAAATTGAATAATCTTTCGTGCCTCCGGAGTCAATTGTGTCTTAACAACAATGGGAAGAGCAAGGTACAAAGGTGGTGCTTTCTTAGCTCTAGGATTTGCCCGTTCGAATGGAGAGACCACATACAAACTAGGCTTCAATTTAGATACACTACGTAGTCCACCTCCCTTTCGCCCCTTTATTGTTCAAAAACATAAAAACAAAACCAGCTCATTAGTAACCACACCATATGAACAAAGAATTAGAAAAATTAATCAAGTGTAATACCTTCACAGTCTTGGCACAACCATCATTAGCAGCAACACTTTCATCACTCAAAAGTATGAATTTCTCAACTTTAGACGCTTTCGCCTGCTTACAAGAAGACTGTTTCACAACTTTGACAAAAGGAGATTCAGAACAGCTGTCATCTCCAATTTCCCCCTAGGCCTCTCCCGAAACCTTAACACCTAACCCTTAAGTCTTGACACATTCGGAGGTAGGAGAAATGGGCTCACTTGGTTTTTCAACCTCACCCTTCTGATTGCCCTTTTCCCATCTGATAAGCTGCTCCGTTGACAATAAATCAACTGCAGATGCTTTCACCTTTTCAGCCTCATTCTTCTGATCGTTCTTTTTCAATTCAGTAGGCTACTCCCTTGACAATGGGTCACCTGTAGTTGCTTTCACTACCTCTATAATTGACTTCACT